TTTTTTTTTTTTTTTTCTGCACATATTCAACCAAGACATAGTTGTCTTCACACTAAGCAACCTCAGTTTACTGTTGTCAATATTTGTTGAAGCTAATAATAACAACGACAACCAGCAACATGCAGTAACCATAGCAGAAGTTGTTCAGATGAATATTTAGGAGTGGAAAAACAAAGAGAACTGGAAGAGTAAAGCAAAAAAAAAAGCAAGAAAAAAAGAAATGTGAAGAAGACTAGGCTTAAGTATTATATATTAATAAACAAATTAGATAAGTTACATAGATAATCTTCTTAATTTCTGCAGTCAAAACAATTCGACGAGTCTGTAGTGAACTGCCGACGACGACTGACCATAGACAGTAAAGCTGCAGATTTGTCGTTGCTGTTCCTTCATCAATTTCCACTTCTTGTAATCTGCCTTAATTTATGCATCAACAAAACTGTTTATCCTAAGCTGTTCTTCAAATCATTTAAATGGTAAACTATGTTCACTAACAACTGAACTGTTTCATCTTTTTTTTTTGATATGTTATCGGGATTGTCAGTTTCTACCCGAAACGCATAACTGTTGGTAATTGTTGTTCACTTAATGACAGACAGTGTTTGCACTTGGCAATGTTAGTTTGTTAAATTGTAATGCAGATTTCTATGTATGTCAGATCGCCAGTTTTAGAAACTTAAAATTAAAAGAAGATTTTAAAGTTAGTAGAATGGAATTCTGTAGTAGTCATCTAAGTTGTTGAAAGCACGAAATTGCTTTGAAATAGTGAAAACTTCAAAGAGGATGAAGAAGGAAGCGGAGAAGGAAAGTTTTGATCTGATGAACAGCAAGCAATGAAACAGCCAGCAAAAAGTCGATGTTAAAGTACTAATGATGCATCATTCTATTGAAATATAGAATTTTTTTTTCATTCTTTTTAAAATTTTTTAATTTATTTATTATTAATTTTTTTCTTTATTTGTGAAGACGACGGCAACAACAGAGGAGAAGACGGGAAACGATGACGAAAATAGAGGTTGCTTGCAAAAGGA